TATATATTTATGGTGTACAACATGATGTTTTGACATCTGTATACATTGTGGAAGGGCTTGATTGAGCTAATTAACATATGCATTAACTCACACACTTATTTTTTTGTGGTCAGAACACTCAGATCTATTCTCTTAGCAATTTTCGAGTACACGATACATTGTTATTAATTGTAGTCACCATGCTCTACAACAGAGCTTTCGAACTTATTCCTCCTGCCTAACTGAAATTTTGTATCCTTTGACCAACATGGCTTAACTTTTCATGTATCAATGGTCCCTGACATAGGATGACTTGACTTATGATAGTTCAATGTACAATTTTTTCAACTTTACAACAGGTTTATCGGGATGTAACCCCAGGGTAAGTCGACGAACATCTGGACTTCAGATGGTCCAATTTATGATTTTTCAACTTTATGATGGGTTTAACAGAGTATTAAATGCACTTTCGACATGATTTTTCAACTTTACGATAGGTTTTATTGTAACATAATCCATCATAAGTTGAGGAGCATCTGTAAATGACTCAAATTCTGCATTTCAGCAGTAAGTTCATCAGTTGTAAATGAACCCACTTTCTAATGTCTTTACCAACTGATTCAACAGAACAGTAGAATCACAAATTATGTGCTATGGTACAATATTAGGGCAAACACCACATAGCTCCTGCCTTACTTAGAAACACATGTTATTATTATTTTCTTTTCAGGAATAAATAAAGGGAAAGGTGTTTCCTTGTCAGAACCCTGGAATTCCAGAGATTTCTTTTAGGGGTAGGAAACCACTGGCTAAATTAGAGGCTCTTTCCTTTGCATTTTTGAGCAACCAAGCCAAGTAGGTAGGTCTTGGTGAATTTGCCTGTAGGAAACCTGGTCATGGGAGATCAAACCACAAGCTTGTGTTTTGGATCCATTTAGAAAGCTGAAAGTCACCTGCTTTTTTTTAACAGAGGTGCCATAGGATGGTGTCAGCCCTTACTCAGCCTGACAGTTTTGGTTCCTCATCTTCCTTTTTCCACTTATTTATTAATTGCATGACTTGGACCTGGATTCCCCATGTAGCAAGTTTTCTTCTGTCAGCTACAAATCCAAGAGCAGGGTCTTGCACAGACAAACCCTCTGTAAATGTCTCTCATGGCTTCCTGGATTACCTCCCTGTTCTGGGTTGAATTGTATCCCTGCCCCCTACAAACTCATATGTTGAACTCCTAAATCCCAGCACCTGAGAATTTGACCGTATTTGGAGATAGGGCCCTGAAAGAGATAATTACATTAAAATGAGATCATTAGGATGCCCCTAATCCAATTTGACTGGCATCCTTATAACAAGAGGAGATTAGGACACAGACATGCACAGAGGGATGACCATGTGGAGACTCAGAGAGACGACGCCACCTACAAGCCAAAGAGAGAGTCCTCGGAAGAAACCTACCCTGCTGACACCTCGATCTTAGACTTCCAGCCTCCAGAACAGTTAAAAAAAAA